GGGGCGGGGAGCGGCTGTGCGCCCGGATGGCCAAAGGCGAGCTTGCCTGGGGTGGACAAAAACAGGGCGGCGACGGCGGCGGCCATTGTTGGTGTGAGGGGTGAAGGCAAACGACCTTTTGATGCTTGCGAGTCACGACTGAACAGGATCCCCGTGCCGTCGCGCGCATCTCGGCGGAAGTCAAACGGACACGACCTCGACAACCGCCCAAGCGACGTGCCCGCGCTGACGCCGCGGCACGCAGGGGTCGGCGCAGGACGGCCGTCGGCCGCGGCCCCCAGCGTGGCGGGGGGCGAGCGGCGGCCGACGACTCGGAGCACCGGGGGGAAACAAATGTTGGGGGCGGGCAGGGGGTGGCCCAGACCTGCAGGGCGCGCTGCCAGAGGCGCACGAGCAGCATTATGCCGGCTGCCTCGCGCCCGTGACAGGCCTGCGTGCGGTGCACGGGTGGGTGGGTTGCAAACGCGACCAGGGATGGGATTGGTGCAAGATATTGCAACAGATGTATTCACATGTATACACAATGGAAGGCGTGAGGAACAGAGAGATGGTGAGGGGCGACAGGAGGGCGGCCGCGCGGTCAGCTGTCAGCGGGACGCACCCCCACGCGGGCCGCCGCCACACCTGGGCCGGTGCTCTCCAACCGCGCACGCGCGCGTACGCCGCCGGCCGCGCCCTTCACCTTTCAACTGTAACCCTTCGAAAGCGGCCAACAGGAATGAACCCTAAACAACAGACCCAAAGCGGCCAACAGCCTACATAGGTCGGGATTCCAGGACAAATCGCATGAGTCAGGTTTAGCAGCTCAGGCGGTTCGCCCGCCGGCCTGGGAGGCACCTGCGCGGGCGGTGGTGGTAGTGCATGGGGCGCACGGGCGTTGGTGGGGTTGGCCGCGGGTGGGGCGGCGGCGCGCGGGCGGGTGAGGGGTGGACAAGGGGAAGGAGTGGGGTGTGACGAGACGCGGGGGTGAGGAATATGCCGAAGGCAGGTGGTGATGATGGATAGTGGGGAGAATCGTGTTTGGGATGCTTCCAACGCGCGTTTTAAAGCAGGGCGGCAGGAACTGCAGCTATGGGCTGAGTGGGGGAGATGTGTTGAGTGGGGCGCGGCGTTGGGTGGGCGTGGGGCCCAGCCACGGAGAGAGGGGACCAAGGGGGCTGGCGGAAGTCGGGCGGGCGCACCTCAATGAACGTGTCAGCGTAGACGACCGACCCCAGCACCGCCCCGCCACCGCCGCGGATGCCGCCCAGGCCCAGGCGCAGCGTCTTGGGGCGCCCGTCGTGCGGACAGGGTTCGTCCTGGAGAGGAAGAGTGGGGCGGCGGCGGTCAGGTGAGGCGCGCGCCGGACCCGCGGGCTCTGCAGGTGTCTGTTTGCAGAGACAGGGCCGCTTCGCGCCCCCTCAACGCACCCAGCGGAGCGCCGCGCGCGCAACAACGCCGGCGGCGCCCCCCAACCCAACATGCCACGGATGATGGCGCGACACCGCCGCCGCCGCAGGTGGTTCCGCCGCAGCCAGGCGCCCCGGCCGCGCACGTGGCGGCGCCGCCGCGAGAGGCGCGAGATCCTCAACTCCTCCCCTTGTGGAGAAGCGCACCTGGGCGGGCATTGCGGCCTCGCAGTCCCACGCCCACAGCGCAAACTTGAGCTGCGAGGCTACATCAGCCACGACCAGGGGCAGCCGCGCCGCGTGGGCCGCGGAGATGAGGGCGTTGCGGGCGGCGACGCGCGCGGACGAGACGGTGGCGTCCGGCTGCGGCGCACGCGTGCGTATGTGTGTGTGTTTATGTCAATATGTATGTACGCGTGTACGTGTGTATGTGTGTGTGTGTGTGTTTCAGAACATGTGTAAGCTTGCGCGTGCGCACGGTTGCGCACACGTGTGTGTGTGTGTGCGTTTGTGTGTGTGTGTGTGTGTGTGTGAGTGTGTGGGTGTGTGGGTGTGTGTGCGTGCATGCGCGCGCACATCAGGAGCTGTTGGCCCAGTCGCATCGGGCTGCATGCGCAAGCCGTGCGCTTGCAAAACAGGGGCTCATCAGCCGGTGGCGTTACGCGCCAAGGAGCGCCGCTGACGCCGCGCCCCCGTCCCGCCAGGCGGCGGACCGCGCAAAAATCAGGGTCGCCACCACCCCGGCGGCGGCGGCGGCACGCGGGCGGCGGCGGGTCCGTCGCGATCCAAGCCCGCAAACTGAGTCGGCGATGCAGACAACAGACACGAGTGCGGAACGACGCAGGCCCCGCACCTTGGTCGCGAAGTGCGTCATCGCTGCGTGGGCCGCGTCTGCCGCGGCCGCATACCAGCGCATCAGTAGCGCGCCGTCAGCAATGGGGTCGGGGCCGTCCGCCGGCGGCGCGCCCGGGTCTGCAGGGGTAGGAGGGGAGGGGAGGGGGTAGATCGCCTTTGATTGTGACGGCTTTCAAGACCCCTGGGTAGGCGCACCCCGCACTGGCGGCGGTTTTCAACACATGTAAGGCTCGATTGCGATTCCTACTACTACCTAATGTCTGACAGATGGGCTGCGGTTTGTTTGCTGAATGATGCGCGAACAGCAAAGCCCCAGATCAGGACAGATCAGATCGCGCCCGAACCGGAACCGATTGGGTAGGGGCAAGCATGCGCATACGCGCCACCCAACGTGTGCAGCGCCGCCCTGGAAAGTCAGCAATGCGCGCCTCTTGATGCCCCCTGTGACATCCGCACAATGTCAGCGACGAGCGCGACGCGAGAGAGTGAACAAGCGACGGCCTGGCCGCTTACCGACGCCAGGAATGGACGCCACCGCGCCGTGCGTGAACACGAGCGTGCGCGCGAAGCGCAGGCACGAGCCGCCGTCCGCCGCCTCGACCGTCGCGTGTGCGATGGCGGCGCCCTGCTCGCGCGCGTGCTGCCGCATCGGGCGCGCGTCGGACAGCGCGGCGGGGTCGCTGGTGCGGGTGCCGAACAGCACGCGCGGCGGCATGCAGAGGGGCTGTGGGTTCGGTTCATTTATGGGTCCCAAGATAAAGCATATGGGGCAGTGGGGAGGGGCGGAGAGGCGCGTCGTGAGAGGTCGCGGCAGGGGTGGGGTGGGCTGGGATGAGGGGATCAAGCAGAGTTGAGAGGACGCCTGAATACTTTCCAGCAAGAGGATTTGGCTTTGTAGGGCCCGGCCGCACAAGCGCATCTTTGCATGCATGTTATGCACACTGAGGCCAACCCTGCAGCAGGAGGCTTACACCAGCCTGGGGCAGCCCAAACGCCACACGAC